GGAGATAGAATATGGAGAGAGGAGGGGGGAGAGAGAGGAGATAGAATATGGAGAGAGGAGGGGGGAGAGAGAGGAGATAGAATATGGAGAGAGGAGGGGGGAGAGAGAGGAGATAGAATATGGAGAGAGGAGGGGGGAGAGAGAGGAGATAGAATATGGAGAGAGGAGGGGGGAGAGAGAGGAGATAGAATATGGAGAGAGGAGGGGGGAGAGAGAGGAGATAGAATATGGAGAGAGGAGGGGGGAGAGAGAGGAGATAGAATATGGAGAGAGGAGGGGGGAGAGAGAGGAGATAGAATATGGAGAGAGGAGGGGGGAGAGAGAGGAGATAGAATATGGAGAGAGGAGGGGGGAGAGAGAGGAGATAGAATATGGAGAGAGGAGGGGGGAGAGAGAGGAGATAGAATATGGAGAGAGGAGGGGGGAGAGAGAGGAGATAGAATATGGAGAGAGGAGGGGGGAGAGAGAGGAGATAGAATATGGAGAGAGGAGGGGGGAGAGAGAGGAGATAGAATATGGAGAGAGGAGGGGGGAGAGAGAGGAGATAGAATATGGAGAGAGGAGGGGGGAGAGAGAGGAGATAGAATATGGAGAGAGGAGGGGGGAGAGAGAGGAGATAGAATATGGAGAGAGGAGGGGGGAGAGAGAGGAGATAGAATATGGAGAGAGGAGGGGGGAGAGAGAGGAGATAGAATATGGAGAGAGGAGGGGGGAGAGAGAGGAGATAGAATATGGAGAGAGGAGGGGGGAGAGAGAGGAGATAGAATATGGAGAGAGGAGGGGGGAGAGAGAGGAGATAGAATATGGAGAGAGGAGGGGGGAGAGAGAGGAGATAGAATATGGAGAGAGGAGGGGGGAGAGAGAGGAGATAGAATATGGAGAGAGGAGGGGGGAGAGAGAGGAGATAGAATATGGAGAGAGGAGGGGGGAGAGAGAGGAGATAGAATATGGAGAGAGGAGGGGGGAGAGAGAGGAGATAGAATATGGAGAGAGGAGGGGGGAGAGAGAGGAGATAGAATATGGAGAGAGGAGGGGGGAGAGAGAGGAGATAGAATATGGAGAGAGGAGGGGGGAGAGAGAGGAGATAGAATATGGAGAGAGGAGGGGGGAGAGAGAGGAGATAGAATATGGAGAGAGGAGGGGGGAGAGAGAGGAGATAGAATATGGAGAGAGGAGGGGGGAGAGAGAGGAGATAGAATATGGAGAGAGGAGGGGGGAGAGAGAGGAGATAGAATATGGAGAGAGGAGGGGGGAGAGAGAGGAGATAGAATATGGAGAGAGGAGGGGGGAGAGAGAGGAGATAGAATATGGAGAGAGGAGGGGGGAGAGAGAGGAGATAGAATATGGAGAGAGGAGGGGGGAGAGAGAGGAGATAGAATATGGAGAGAGGAGGGGGGAGAGAGAGGAGATAGAATATGGAGAGAGGAGGGGGGAGAGAGAGGAGATAGAATATGGAGAGAGGAGGGGGGAGAGAGAGGAGATAGAATATGGAGAGAGGAGGGGGGAGAGAGAGGAGATAGAATATGGAGAGAGGAGGGGGGAGAGAGAGGAGATAGAATATGGAGAGAGGAGGGGGGAGAGAGAGGAGATAGAATATGGAGAGAGGAGGGGGGAGAGAGAGGAGATAGAATATGGAGAGAGGAGGGGGGAGAGAGAGGAGATAGAATATGGAGAGAGGAGGGGGGAGAGAGAGGAGATAGAATATGGAGAGAGGAGGGGGGAGAGAGAGGAGATAGAATATGGAGAGAGGAGGGGGGAGAGAGAGGAGATAGAATATGGAGAGAGGAGGGGGGAGAGAGAGGAGATAGAATATGGAGAGAGGAGGGGGGAGAGAGAGGAGATAGAATATGGAGAGAGGAGGGGGGAGAGAGAGGAGATAGAATATGGAGAGAGGAGGGGGGAGAGAGAGGAGATAGAATATGGAGAGAGGAGGGGGGAGAGAGAGGAGATAGAATATGGAGAGAGGAGGGGGGAGAGAGAGGAGATAGAATATGGAGAGAGGAGGGGGGAGAGAGAGGAGATAGAATATGGAGAGAGGAGGGGGGAGAGAGAGGAGATAGAATATGGAGAGAGGAGGGGGGAGAGAGAGGAGATAGAATATGGAGAGAGGAGGGGGGAGAGAGAGGAGATAGAATATGGAGAGAGGAGGGGGGAGAGAGAGGAGATAGAATATGGAGAGAGGAGGGGGGAGAGAGAGGAGATAGAATATGGAGAGAGGAGGGGGGAGAGAGAGGAGATAGAATATGGAGAGAGGAGGGGGGAGAGAGAGGAGATAGAATATGGAGAGAGGAGGGGGGAGAGAGAGGAGATAGAATATGGAGAGAGGAGGGGGGAGAGAGAGGAGATAGAATATGGAGAGAGGAGGGGGGAGAGAGAGGAGATAGAATATGGAGAGAGGAGGGGGGAGAGAGAGGAGATAGAATATGGAGAGAGGAGGGGGGAGAGAGAGGAGATAGAATATGGAGAGAGGAGGGGGGAGAGAGAGGAGATAGAATATGGAGAGAGGAGGGGGGAGAGAGAGGAGATAGAATATGGAGAGAGGAGGGGGGAGAGAGAGGAGATAGAATATGGAGAGAGGAGGGGGGAGAGAGAGGAGATAGAATATGGAGAGAGGAGGGGGGAGAGAGAATATAGAGAGAGGAGGGAGGAGAGAGAGGAGATAGAATATGGAGAGAGGAGGGTGGAGAGAGAATAGAGAGAGAGGAGGGTGCAGAGAGAATATAGAGAGAGGAGGGGGGAGAGAGAATATAGAGAGAGGAGGGAGGAGAGAGAATAGAGAGAGAGGAGGGTGCAGAGAGAATATAGAGAGAGGAGGGGGGAGAGAGAATATAGAGAGAGGAGGGAGGAGAGAGAATAGAGAGAGAGGAGGGTGCAGAGAGAATATAGAGAGAGGAGGGGGGAGAGAGAATATAGAGAGAGGAGGGAGGAGAGAGAATAGAGAGAGAGGAGGGTGCAGAGAGAATATAGAGAGAGGAGGGGGGAGAGAGAATATAGAGAGAGGAGGGAGGAGAGAGAATAGAGAGAGAGGAGGGTGCAGAGAGAATATAGAGAGAGGAGGGGGGAGAGAGAATATAGAGAGAGGAGGGAGGAGAGAGAATAGAGAGAGAGGAGGGTGCAGAGAGAATATAGAGAGAGGAGGGGGGAGAGAGAATATAGAGAGAGGAGGGAGGAGAGAGAATAGAGAGAGAGGAGGGTGCAGAGAGAATATAGAGAGAGGAGGGGGGAGAGAGAATATAGAGAGAGGAGGGAGGAGAGAGAATAGAGAGAGAGGAGGGTGCAGAGAGAATATAGAGAGAGGAGGGGGGAGAGAGAATATAGAGAGAGGAGGGAGGAGAGAGAATAGAGAGAGAGGAGGGTGCAGAGAGAATATAGAGAGAGGAGGGGGGAGAGAGAATATAGAGAGAGGAGGGAGGAGAGAGAATAGAGAGAGAGGAGGGTGCAGAGAGAATATAGAGAGAGGAGGGGGGAGAGAGAATATAGAGAGAGGAGGGAGGAGAGAGAATAGAGAGAGAGGAGGGTGCAGAGAGAATATAGAGAGAGGAGGGGGGAGAGAGAATATAGAGAGAGGAGGGAGGAGAGAGAATAGAGAGAGAGGAGGGTGCAGAGAGAATATAGAGAGAGGAGGGGGGAGAGAGAATATAGAGAGAGGAGGGAGGAGAGAGAATAGAGAGAGAGGAGGGTGCAGAGAGAATATAGAGAGAGGAGGGGGGAGAGAGAATATAGAGAGAGGAGGGAGGAGAGAGAATAGAGAGAGAGGAGGGTGCAGAGAGAATATAGAGAGAGGAGGGGGGAGAGAGAATATAGAGAGAGGAGGGAGGAGAGAGAATAGAGAGAGAGGAGGGTGCAGAGAGAATAGAGAGAGGAGGGTGGAGAGGAATTGGCATGGTGAGACCTTTCATAAAAATTTGCACAGAGAAAAATGTCCTGCGTGTGATTCTTCCCGGGAGATCGGATACACATCTCTATATGAAATTTGGGGGTTACAGTCCAGGAAACTTCCAGATTTGTCTGCACTGGGGACCTCAGTAAAATAACCCGGATAGTAGAAACCTTGAATGTATTTAATAAAACCGTGTTATATCCCGATGACACATGAGATAGATTGCAGCTTACAGAACCTGTCATGAGAAAATCACCTCATTCTAGAGATAAGAATTCCCAGCCTGCTGTCATGTTCTTCCCCTTCTGCTATAGTTCCCCGGCTATTACTATAGGGGCAACAATGGCGGTCACCACGCCATGCGTTCCATCCTTCATTCACCATCCATCACTGGTATCCCTGGCTCTGACCTGCCAAACACCAATGTGCCCATCACCCCCCCTCCAATGTCACCCTCCTGCCCAATAAGTGATCCGAAACCTATAGCAATTGTCACATGATCGCTGCCAAAGGGGAGGATCAGTCATTTTAAACCTTGACCCTCTCCTTTAGCACAGATCACATGACCGACTGCCTTGACTTTTGGTCACATGACAGAAGGGGGGAGGCTGAAGCAGCAAGTTTTCCATCAATGAAATTCCAAACCTACTGTTTTTCTTTATTAATCTCGGCAGCAGGTCCGGAACTACAGATCACGGGGCCCCATAGCAACAATGTAATGGGGGCCCCCCTGATGACCTCTCTCTGAGCTGTGAGTAACGATGCCGAGATTCTAAGTACTCCACTTGTGCATCTGAAGTCATCTCTACAATGTAGACTTTACAGGGGATTAGAGTCAACTGCAACCACTCCAACCCTTAAAGATGCAGTATTGTATCATCCTCACATGTTCTATGTCTAATTTGCCTCAACACCTAATGGGGGGCCCCCTTCCACCTCCGGGCCCCATAGCAGCCATCTGGTCTTCAGCATTATTATTATGAACTTAAGGTAATACGGATTTAATTATAAGCTGATCACATTCACATATAGAAAAAACAGCGTTTTCTTTTTAAAGGGAAATTCCACCCCAAAAAATGTCTCATTCGCAGCCTAGTGTTCATGAACGACGCATCATTACCTGGCTCAGTGCAGTTCTTCTCCTGCGATCTGTTTTCTGACGCCATCAGCCTGCGGTTCCGCCATGCGAGTGCATCCTGCGCAGCAGTTGGATTTCTCTCCGATAGTCCTCGCCCTGGAAGAGAAGAGGAAGCCGCGTAAAACATTACAGCTTGCCGGATTTTATGTGTGCAACTAAAGCCAAAACTTCTTTTTTTTTTTAGATCTGGATGGAGTGGAGAGGGATTAGAACCCCTTTCAGGCTTTTAATGCTGTCTGTGTCCCCCATCAGGGAGATTCGCCCTCTCTGTCCTGGTGACCCTCATCACGGAACGTGAAAGAAAATCCCAAGTTTTGGGAAATCTTCCAATGGGGACACTAGTTCTGGTGACCACCGGGGATTTATCTCCCTTTGGAGGGATTTATTCTCACTTCCTGTTGTGACTATCAGACAGGAAGTGAAGGGAAATCTCCCCAGTGGGACACAGATGTAAAAAAAAGCTGACAGAGGTTATAACCCTCCCTTACTCTATCCAAAACTAAGTTTCTACTTTAAAGCTCCTGCAGAAGGCTGCTTGGAATTGTGGGCTCCGGGAGCTGCTCCGTGCCTTACACTGCAGGTAAAATATCCAGCATGGCGTTTCTGGTAATGTTTTTATTGCCTTTCTGCCCCAGTGACAACCCCCATCCCCCCCATGTCATGTACTGGTGTCACAAGGATAGGAAGTGAGAGAAAATCTCCTTAATGGGGTCACCAATAGAGATAGGAAACCTGATAGAGATTTTAACTCTTCCCCACTCAATGCAAACAAGAAAAATCACTTTGGCTGAGTCAGGCTTTAATGCAGGGGTGGGCGACTCCTGGCCCTCCCAGCTGTGCTTTAACTACAAATCCCACCATGCCTCTGCCTCTGGGAGTTATGCCTGTAACTGTCAATGCTTGCAATGCCTCCCGGGATTTGTAGTTCAACAACAGCTGGAGGGCCGGAGTTGACGGCTTTAATGACTAAGATACCGAAACCACTGGAAATAGTACGACTATGAGCCAAGCAATGACATATTCAGAAGGGCATGCCGTGTTTCCTTTCTTTTGGTGTCACTCTAACATTGTCGCCAGCTACTTTTCTGGACTATTTCATATACATATTGGCAGATTCTCTCTCTAGTGCTGAGACCTTAAAGGAGAAGTATGGGGTCAGTGTTTTTCCCCATAGTTCTCCTTCGGGTAACGGGAGGACACAAACTAGCGTCCTCCCGTCACCCTAGGCTCAGTATATAGGGAGCTACAGCTGGCGGTATACTGAGACGCCGCAGCTGAAGCGGATCCCGACAATTATGTCTGGATCCGCCCAGCTGTGTGAATGACAGCTGGCTCCGCCTATCTAAAAGCAGGGCCAGCTGTACCCGCCCCCTCCCCCGTCCGTTCCGCCAGTCAGCGATGGCGGATCGGAGGGGAGAATCCAGCCCCTCCCCGTGACAGGATCGAGAGGTGAGCGAACGCCGGTATGTGTTCGCTCACCTCCCGATCTACTGAGCCGACCTGTGACAGTCTCATTGTCACAGGTCGGCTAGAACTATGAGGTGAGTGGAAATCACCCCCTCCCCCCCTCATAGTTCTCCTTTAATGAAACACCGCTGAGATCAAATCAATTACTGGATGAGCCAAACGGAGAACAGATTCATTTCATTCACAGCATTGCACTGCGGTACAAGGAGCAGTAAAGCACAATCACCCTACTGCACTAAGAAGGAAGCAGATCCTGCATGTTTCATAAGCAAATCCCTGCATGTCTGCCCCACGTGTACAAATGTCTCAGATTATGGACTCATGCGAACAATATGTGTATTGTGAGGATCATGTGCAGGTACATTGTATCTAAAACGAGATCCGCTTAACCTTCCCACGAGGGGTTAATGCATTTTCTCTGTGGACCTGACTCCAGATTTGGTGTTTTTAGGAAACAATTCGGATTTAGGGATTAGGGAAAGATTAGCCTGTTCACAATGTCAATGACTCTGACCAGTAGAAAAAAAAACTGTGTTATTTCCCCCGAGTCAGCTGTTTGCGGCCTTCCCGACCGTCTCTGGCTTTACCTGCGGTCACAACCCATGGCACCACTGGTGATGTCGTAGTTATTAAGGCAGGCGTGTGATCGCCAGACAAATCATGGGAAGTCCAGAAATCCGACAGAGGCAGAGCTGTCAATCCAGAAATCAGTGGGCGGGGCAAGGTGATGATTGACAAGCTACAGCAGTGACACTCCCGATAGCCACGCCCTCCCTATGACATAACTTATTTTAGACCTAGTGACATCATCACTGGGTCCCTATGCTTCTCTCTTTTTTTGGTGCAGAATTGGGACTTTCAGCATGACTGCTCCTGGTGCGGGGTAAGGCAAGTATTCTGGTGCAGGGGTTAGTTTATGTGATACGTAACTCAGGCTCAGGCGTTGGGGATTTATTTTAAGTGTCGTTAAACTTCTTTTATAATAGTATTGCAGACCGCAGCACTTACCATGCGTGCTCCATGATTTTCTTTGGAAGGCCGCCATTGCTAGGCATTTTGCATCCAAAAAAACTTCAACCCTCCGTTTCTGGTTTTAAGGGTGGCTACGCTGCCTTACAAGGCTGGGAATACAGCCAGATGTTGCTGCCACAATGCAGTATACACCAACATCCACAGACAACCCCAAGCTGTTCGATTCTGTTTCCTGGTCCAATATGCTCTATATCAGGGGTCTCAAACCACCGGCCCTCCAGCTGTGGTGGAACTACAAATCCCATGAGGCATTGCAAGATTCTCACAGCCACATACATGACTCCCGGAGAGAGATGCATCATGGGATTTGTAGTCTCACCGCAGCTGGAGGGCCGGAGGTTTGAGACCCCTGCTCTATATCCTCAATGCATAGGGTTTACTCTTCTTTACGCTATAGGTGTCTTCTCTCTACACCTCACCTTGCGTGTATATGAAATACTTGGGGTTCAAGCGCAATCTCTTTTCAGCTGAATGGGGAACAAGACAGGGGTGCCCACTGTCGCCCTTACTTTCTGCACTGGCCATAAAGCCATTAGCACAGCTCATTGGAGGAAATCCCAGTATCTCTGGTATGGAGCTGGGAGGACACAACCCATAAGTTGATTCTCTTGGTCAATGATGTGTTCCTCCTGCTGACCAACATCCAGGTCTCAACACCCAATCTTCTCAAAACCCGTGATATCAGGCTTAGATGTGAAGAATGTAGGGTTGCCACCTGTCCAGGATTAACAGTCCGGGTTTTGAATGCTGTGTCCGGGTTTCATGGCAGGAGAAACCCGGACACAAGATGTCAGGCAGACAGGGGCAACCAAAATTAAGATAGGGGCTACTGGGCCCCCCACTGAAAATAGTCTTAACTGTGATATTTACATATGAATGGGTGGCGGCATTTACATATGAACAAGCCACGGCTCATTCTCCCAAAAAAAAATTCCCGCGTCGCTAGAGTGTTCGGGTTTCGCTTGAAGAAAAGGTGGCAACCCTAGAAGAAGGCCATGTCCTAGGCCCTGAGTCTCTCCTTGTCCCCGCAGGTTTACAACTCCCTACAGTCAAGCACTGATTTCGACTGGGTTACCTACTTCATTCCATACCTCTGTGTAAACCTAACAACATCCTATGAATCTCTATATAATGCTAATTATCCCACAATGTTGTCAAAACTTACCAGCCTTCTGACCTAAGTATCATATTTCATGGATGGCCCCAAAGAGCAGCCACCACAATCTATTTGTGAGGCAAATGCCCGAGTGCTCATCCACTAAGGAATATCCATACACATCCAAAATAGGTATTGAGGCATTCCCGGATCTTGCAGCCGATATAAGCATTGACTTATTTCCTCTGCAAGACCCGTGCGTGCCTCTATACCAGTTTCGGATATTTTATGGTTATATAGGATATCCATGCTTAAAATGTTCTTTTTACCCCAAATTATCTATTCTTCAGGGTCCTGTCCATTAAAGGAGAACTGTGAGGTAAGCTCATGGTTCGAGCCGACGTGTGACAATGATACTGTCACACGTCGGCTCAATGGATCGGAAAGTGAGTGAACGCATACCGTCGCTCGCTCACTTCTCGATCCTGTCCCTGCAGAGAGCCGTGACTGTCACTCACAGCTCCCTGCAGGGATTCCCCACCCCCCTTCCCCCGTCCGATCCTCCGGCGCTGACTGGGGGAACGGACGGGGGAGGGGGCGGGTACAGCTGGCTCTGCTTCTAGATAGGCAGAGCCAGCTGTCACTCACGCAGCTGGGCGGATCTCGACATCGATGTTGGGATCCGCTCCGGCTGCGGCGTCTCAGTATACCGCGAGCTGTAGCTCCCGATATACTGAGCTTTGGGTCACGGGAGGACGCTAGTTTATGTCCTCCCGTGACCCTTAGGAGAACTATGGGGGAAAACACTTACCCCCATAGTTTTCCTTTAAGCTCCCACAGCACTACCTTTGTATACTCCAGGGAAAACTTTTACAATTTATCTGGGGACCTGGACAGCTCAGACTTGCCAACTCAACATGGCATCAACATAGACTACAAGGAGGTCTGGTGGTGCCAAAACGTTCTAGTTAGTGTTATGTAACCCGACGCTACCATTTGACTGAATACCATGCAAAGTGGGAAATTCCAGTCTACAGCTTCAGTAGACAGCGATCCCTTACCCGTCAATAACATTCTATGACTACACCTGAAAGACAGAGGTCCTTCGAACCCCATTACTTCCCCTTCCTCAAGCTGTGGGATGACATAAAATATTCAGGGGGTTTGATTTCCTGACATCTCCCCTTACTCTCTTTTCTTCGTAATCACTCTTTTTCCCGGGCTCCTCCTTCCCCCTCATTTGGGACCTGGGAAATATGCACATTACATACCCTTATGAATAGCAGGGTTCTTACACACCTTACAGGAGGAATTTGATTTGCTGAACAACATCGATATCTTCTAGAAGTTAAACATGTTGTCTCCCATTTGGCATTTTTTACATGTTCATCTGAAGTCCAATAAAGAGGGGAGGATAACGTGGACCTCTGGTGTGCTGGTGGCTCAGCCAGGCTAGCGCAGGGGTGGGCAACCTCGGCACTCCAGCTCCACAAATGCCACC